AGAAGATTTCGAAAATCTTTTTTGTTTCATTTTTTCGATTTTTTCGTGTCTCCAGAAGTTTTTTGCCGCTTTGGCTTGGCTGGGTGGTCTGACGATTTTTTATTGGAATTCAGAAATTCTTTGAAAGTTTCAAATTTTCAGATTTTGGAACTTTCAGATTCTCCAACTTTTTTACGCCAGAAAAACTAATGACTTGAATTTTCGAAACTTTTGGATTTCAACAAAAAATTCAAATTTTTTAGAACTTTTTGGAATGTTAATAACTTTATTTAATTTTCTCAATTATGGATTTTTAGGAAAAATTTCTGAATTTCTGAATTTCTCCCCCTCTGAATTTGTGAATTTCTGAATTTCTGAATTTCTGAATTTCTGAAGGGGTCTCATCAATAAAAATGTAAATGTGTCAACAGCGCTCTGTCGGAAAGAGGGAGAGAGGCAAGAGGTTTAGAGAAAGAGTGTAATTCTCAACGTCTCCTTCTCATCTGGATTCTGAGAAGATGAGGGGGCGCAAATTTTTGATGAGGTGGCACAAATTTTTGTTTTTTTTTGTTCTGAAAGGATTTTCGGAAATCTTAAAGACAAGAGAGCTTTCAAAATTCCTTTCAAAGTATGCATAGGCTTTTCTTGGCACTTCTCAAATTTCGGACGTATTTTATTAGATTCATTTTCAGAATCAATGGGGTAAGTGTAACAACATTAAAAAACAGTAAAAAACAACAACAAATTTGAGAGGGGGTGAGTGGGAAACATGAAAATGTAGTAAGCAAGAGAGCTTAATGAGCATTGAACGATTCCGCGTTATTTCCGTCTAGTTTATACTACTATTTGCTGATCTTGAACATGTGGACGGAGAGTATCTTCTTTTTTGTTTTCTGAACGTATTCATTAAATTAGAGTACAAAAAATTGTAGGCACACCGTTCTCTTCTCGGGCGCTCATCTGACAATATCCAAGAACTTGAACATGAATTGGCGGACATGTTTTCGTAGTCTTCTTGAGTCACATTCGCGTTAGATTTTGAATCAGAGCTCACGTTCATAGCTGCTGAAAGGTCTAAGCCTGTGGTGTTCTTTGAAAGATCAACAGAACATTCTGGGGATGGAGAGAACGGAATCGGTGACAACGACATGGATCTTCTCGCCAATACAGAGTTCTGCTTGATCGGAGAAGAATCTCTTGCCGATACGAATCTGAATGAACATATTGTTAATTCAATATGGAAACGATACCGTACCTTCGGATGGTTCTGGAAGTATTATCATGTGAAAAAGCGTTGTACTTTCGTCCGGAAAATCGTCGAGACACTCGCCCATCATTTCTGGCTTTAGTGATAGCTTTTCTGCTAAGCTCGCTGATGTTTCTCTCAAGTTGGTAATAGAACTTTTGTACTTTTCCTTGTGACAAATGCGCTCCGACCGAGATCCTAAAAGAGGAAGTAAATGTTTATTGATGATACTCTAATTTTACAAGTGAATGCAAACTACAGAAGCGTTCTTGGCACACTTTTTGCTCAAACAGGTCGCATCGGTTACATTAATTTTTGTATAACCATCGTCATTCTCAACGGCTGCCTCGTCGTCGCTGTGGAAATATACTTTTTTGGTGAACACATTCTTTAAGCTCAAGCCATTTTGTACTGCTACAAATTTAGTTTTCAAAAAACAACTGATATTTCGTGACATACACTTCCAGATGTTCCTAGGGACCTCCAAAGTGAAAGGAACGGAAAAATCATGAAATCCTTCTTCGAGGAGACGTGCTGCACGAGCATGAGCGGACGTATTACTGATCTGTTTGTATTTCACATACGAAACAGTAGAACTGTTATTGAATAGAATCACATTACAGTATTCGGTTTTTTCGTCTGTAAAAACCGATTTTTCTGGTGTGGATTACGAAAAACATACTGCTCATAAATTCGATCAATTTCTCAGTGCACTTTTTTCCATTAGTTTTCGGTCCGAAATCCAATTTAATTCTAGAGTTAAGGCACTCGATTCTATTGGTAGTTACGTAGTTGAGTAGGAGACCACCATTGATTCTACTTGGAATGCTGTGCGTCTCAAACAAGTCGTCGATTCGGTCCAATAACCACTTTCGACGAATCGAGTCACAATTCAATCCTGATATTCCGGTTTTAATTGAGTCTTGTTGAGAACATTCAGACATCCACCCAAGACCTCGCCATTTGTTTCCTATGATACCAAGTTCAAGTCATGATCATTCATTAAGATTTCTTACTGTTTTACCAAACACGGCATCAACGGTTTTCCTGTCCAATTTATTGGATTTTGAAGCATCCTGGAAGTTTTGACGTCTATGAATCAAGCATCTCAGTTTTTGGGTTCGCTCTAAGTATTTCAGCTGAAATTCCAATGTAAGGCATGCTTTTTTAAGTCTCTTACATTACTGTATACTTTGAACGAATCCTCTTCATCTACTACAAACGACGGCATTGTTTTTTTCGTACGAGGATCGATCTTCAAAAATGCTTTATCAATTTCGTCTGCAAATTTCTGATGAACGTCAGCACATTTTGACGTTGAAAGCATGAAACCCAATACAGAATGACGAATCTTGCCAGAGCTCACTGTTCTGTAAATATACATAGTATTTTAAGTCGGAAAAAAACTAACTAACCTGTAGGAACTAAAATCGCCACTCAACACTGTCACCACCAGATCACATAAATCGAAAGTTGAATCCAATTGTAGCTGACCCGCCATTCTGTTAACAATTCCACTGTTGGTTTCTTTTCTGTATGATTCTAGGAACATCATATTAGCTGAACCAATGCAGTCAGAGCCTCACCAACAAAATCATTCAACTTTTGTTGATCCGAACTGGAACAGCCGCTTAGACCTTTTCTATAATCTTTCACATCTTCTGAGCTTGGAAGACCTTTCACGAAGCATCTTATTAGATCCATATCAATGTAAACTAATCCGAACCAATTTCCTGAATTTTTGAGCATCACTTGATTACCGTATACACGCTTTCTACCTGTCGTGAACATTGATATATCTTTCTGAAAGGCCAACTCCGCTAACAATTCTGGTGTTGTTACACACATGCGTCCACGGTTTGAACGAACAGCTCTTGGCTGGTTTCTCACTTGATTTCGAACCTAAAATCATTAGGCATTGTAAAGTCCTCATCCGGTGTGGACTCCTACCTGTCTTTTAGTCACATTTACGTTATTTCTCTTTAAAAAATCATAAGCGCTATTCACAGTTCGGTTATCAAGTGCGCCGTAAACTTCCTTCAGTGCACTATCTGAAAAAAAATAAAATGATTTTTAAACAATTTCTTACAGTACCTGAAATGTTATTCTTCTTGTCAATTTTTAAACTTGTGTAGTCGACATTAGAGTGGGTGCTTGTATATAAAACAAAGTAATATTCAGATCCTTCTGGGTAGATAGTCTGAAAATCAGTTTTCTCATTTCGCATTCATTTCACAATCTCACATATTTTTTGAATTCATCCAGAATTGGAGAGTTGGCTGAGTAGTAACGTACTTTAGTTCCATTGAAAGAAACTTCTCGGGCACGAGGTCTGGTTCTACCTTCTAAAAGATGATAAATTATTTATTTTAATCCTACTAACAGGAAATATCTTACCTTTTGCTTTTTTCCACCAAACTAGTCCATCCTCAACATTTCCATTTTCTACAAAAAACTTCGCAAACTTCGATCCTGGCTCTGAGAATTTCGGTAGCGAAAAATCGTCTTTTTTGGTAGTTGAAAAACTAAAACGATTCAATTTAAATATGTGCCTCAAAAAAATCGCATACCAGTTTTCGACTATTTGATTATAGACATCTTTAGTGAACGACTTGATGACAGGGCCTGTTCTCCATATAAAATCGTCGTCAAGCACTGGAACCTGTTACAAAATTCATATTCCCTTTTCTCGCCTACCTGGTAAGAATTCTAAATTTCGATTTTGATGCGCATCCGTTTCATCCTTGTCAAACTCCATCATGTTATTCTCGTATTCCATAACATCATTCTCTAGTTCCATTCTTTCATTCTCGTATTGAATTTCGAATCCAGTGTCATAGTCATTTCCGAAATTATCATATTCTTCTCGTTCTTGATCTAACATAGAGAAATTTGCGTTTTGTAAAGTTTCGTACTCTTTTTGTCCATAATCATCATCATCTAGCCATCTGTCTTCCATTTCAAGCTCTTTGTAGAATTTTAAAATTCTATCTGCAAACTTTCTTCTGAATAAGAAAAAGGAAGAAGCCGAAACTTAAGAAAAAGCAAAAAAACACAATAATTTGAAAAATGAAATAAGAACTATTTAACAAGATTGTGAAGAAAATTCTTTCAGAACAAAAAAACAAAAATTTGCGCCCCCTCATCAAAAATTTGTGCCCCCTAAGCATATCTCGTTTTGCAGCTAAGGAAGCCACTTTGTGCCCCCCTAATCAAACTAGGTTGTGCCCCCTGAGAATTTGTGCCCCCAAACCATTGAGCCCCCCTGGCTTTGTACCCCCAAATCACTTTTTTTGTACCCCCGAATCAGTTGTGCCCCCTTGTGTCCCCTAATCTTTGTGCCCCCGGAATTAAGTGTCCCTTTCGAACTTAGAGTATTTAACTGAAAACATTTTTTTAAATTTCAAATTTCGCGCCTATTCTCCCAATATCACCTCAACCCCATCCACATCCAATCCAGTTTCATAGAATTCAATTGGTCCCTCATGGCAAGTAATTCGGAGGGTACAACAATTCGGGGGTACAAGGGGGTACAAAGTGATTTAGGGGTACAAAATCCACAATTCGGGGGTACAAACTAAGTCTTTTTTGCCGTCCCTCATCCCATTTTTTTTGCCGTCCCTCATCCCATTTCGATTTTCACTATTTCGAATTTTTTCTGATCAGGCTGACGAAAGCAACTCTGACTGATGGGCAGGAAGGAATATGAAAAGACTAATGTTTAGCAAACTATACAAGTGCAAATGTACCGGATTGTTTCTGTTCCAAAAAACAAACTATATTTCATGCAGTACAAATTTTTCCCCAAAAGTACATTCTCTCCAAAAGTCATCTTTCCGATGAAGAATGAGCAAGAAGAAGCATGATAAATAAAATGTTTGTAGTTCAAACTTCCCAACTTTCTCTCAAATTTTTGTCATCATTTCTTTAACACCTTTCTGCAATTCCGACCAGAAAAGAAAACATGATTACAAAGAAGAAACGACTATAAAAAGGAGGCGAGGAATGGCATACTTCACTCAATCTCTTTGAATCAAGTACTTAGAAAATAATGGTTCACTACAAACTTTCCTACTTCCCAATCCGTTGGGCTGGAGAGGTTCCTCGTCAAATTCTGGCTTATGCTGGACAGAAGTTTGAAGACAACAGAATTCAACAAGCAGACTGGCCAGAACTCAAACCAAGTGAGTTCTAAAATTTCCTCAATAACCTATTTAATTTTGTTCAGGCACTCCATTTGGTCAGCTTCCAGTTCTCGAGGTTGATGGAAGACCCCTTGGACAATCTCATGCTATTTCTCGTTATCTTGCTCGTCAATTCGGAATCAATGGAAGATGTCCATGGGAGGAAGCTCAAGTCAACGCAATTGCTGACCAATTCAAGGATTACTTGTCTGATATTCGTCCATACAATCTCGTTAAAATGGGATTTGCGCAAGGAGATGCTGATCAACTTTACACTGAAACGTTCTTACCAAACTTCAAGAAACACTATCAATTCTTCACAAGATTTTTGAAGGCCAGTGGTGCTGGATTCTTAATTGGAGATTCATTGACCTGGGTGGATATTCTGATTGCTCAGCATACATCAGATCTTCTAAGCGATTCCGGATCAGTTTTTGCGACCAAGGACTCGATTATTGACGAATTCCCAGAGTTGAAGGCTCATCAAAAGAAGATTCATGCAATTCCAAACCTCAAGAAATGGATCGAAACTCGTCCAGTCACTCCATTTTAGATTCAGCTGTTTTTGCCCTTTTGGATTGTATCTGAATCTGTATGAAGAACATTTTTGATTTGTAATATCAGGTTAAAAAGGCCCGAATAAAATGAAGTTGTTCCTAAACGAACTATATGAAACTTCAAAAGTTTGAAAGTGAAAATTCCAGTTTATCAGAATTTTCTTAAAATCTCAAAGTTCCGGGTTTTTAGATTATCATAGTTTTAGTTTTTCCACATAAAGAATAATGAACTTCAAAATTTCAGATTTACGGAATTTCCAAATATCGGAATTACAGAAATTCGGAATTTCAGAATTTCAGAATCTCAGCATTTCAAAATTTCGGAATTCCAGAATATCGGAGTTTCTGAATTTGAGAGTCTCAGAATGTCAGATTCTTAAAATTTCAGAATCTCAGAATGTCAGGATCTCCAAACCTCAGAGTTTCAGGAACTCAGAATTTCAAAATTTCAGAATTTCGGAATATCAGAATTTGAGAATTCGAGAATTTCAGAGTTTCAAAATTTTGGAATCAAAGAATTTCAGAATTTAAGAATTTTGAAATTTCAAAATCTCAAAATTTCTGAATTTCAGAATTTGAGCATTTCATCATTTCATCAATGCAGGATTTCAGAATTTCGGAATAGTTCCATCTTGGAATTTCGAATTTGACCCGAATGGTTTCCAACCTTTCAATGTACTTTGTATCATTTTCTGTCATTCATGTCATCTTTAAAGATTGTTATCAATGTAGTACATAGAAATGTTTGTTCTCTTTTTTCCCTGATCCCTTGGTATCTGGGGTCAGCTGTCAGATAGTCACAACACATGATGATTGCCCGTTTTCTTGTTTTCCATTGATTTTCTGTTTTTTAAATGATCGAAACTCTTGAAAAATGCTTATTTGAAATTATGGAATCAAAGCGCTTCCAAAAACTTCTAACTTTTGATCCAAGGAATTCTTTTAACATGTCATAACCTAAAAATCACGTGAAGTTACTGGAATTCCTCTGGAATACATGCTAGACTGTTGCACATTGTGCACATGTGCATGTCAGTTGATGTTTGCATACCTTTGTTTCTTATCAGTGACCTATGCCACCTTTTCCGTAATCATTTGGGCGGGGAAGTGATATCTGACGACCTGGAGAAACATTTCGTTCTCGTTGACACTTGGTGATTTTTATTCTTCATTTTTAGATGTCATTCTGATTATTGAACATTTCTGGGTTCCTTATTTTGAACTTCAAATATTTTTTTGGTTCCAATTTCTCTAGAAAAAATATGTAGGAAAAATATGTTTGTTTTTGTTTAAATCTTGCTATCTGTAAGACCTCCATTAGAAGGAGCCTAATCGAAGTTTTCTATGTAATAGAAGGGCCCCCTTCAAAATGTGTTACTTGAAATTTACATTTTTCTTACGATTTCAGTGAGAAATATTCCGAAAATTTAATGAAACACAGTTTTTTGCACAAAAATTTGTTCGATTTTGTTGGAAAAGATTGGTTTTCATGAATTTTAAACGAGAATTCACCGAAGTTTAAAAATGAAAGTTTTCGAAAAAAAATGGCAGGAAAAATAAAAGGGGCCTCCTCTGATAATTAATTAATTACACCAGAATAGTTAGAAAATCTTGATTTGAATAATTTATTTTGTCCCAAAGCAGAATTCGATCATTTCCTAAATGTCTAATCGCTTTCTAACAATGACTGAAAATCGGAGAATAAATATAGCTTTGAAAACGGTCTATTTCATACCGTCAAACCTGTAATAGGAGGACAAATAACAACATGGTTAGAGCAGCTGCTTCTAGAATCAAATCAAAACGCGTTTATGAGTCATTTCCCGAGTTTTATGAGTTCTGTTCCTTTTCAACTTTTTCCTTCATTCTTCTCCTTTCTTGACTGAAAATCAGAATCTTTATTTTCAGAACTATGGGCAAACTAACCTCACTTCTCTTATTTGCTTTATTATCTGCAACAAATGCAGGACCTAGATTCGATTGTCTCCCAGAACCAAATGGAAATCAAGGAGCTTGTGAAGCGAGAGGATGCATTTGGAAAGAAGATGATACTGGAGTTGGTTGATTCTTTTTGAAGATCTAAACTCAATTTTTTTAATTTTAGAGAAATGCACCATGGTGTTATTTCAAAGATGGAGTAGGATACAAATTGGATTCTCAACAAGGGACAACCTATAACTTGAGAAAGAATAGTGGACCATCCAATCCATGGGGAGCGGATTCAACTGAAATCAAACTCACCACAAAGACAATTGGAAGTGTTCTCAATGTTCATATTGGAATCGACGGACGGTTTGTTTCTTTTCTTGTTTAATGTTTAGTAGGGGATAACATAACGAACATAGCAAAAGTTCGAGCTAGAGACTTTTCTTTTCTATCTTAAAATTAATCTTTCCATTTTGCAGCTACGAACCTCCAGTGGACTTCCCAAGAGAGACCCAATCATCCGATGAATCTCTCACACTCTCCACATCCAGTTCGGGTGACTTCTTTTCATTCGCAGTTGTCCGTCAGAGTTCTAACAGAAAGTTATTTGATACTTCTATTGGAGGACTAATTTTCTCTGATCAATTCATTCAAATTGCCACATATCTTCCAAGTGAAAACATGTATGGCTGGGGAGAGAATACACATCAATCTTTGAGACATGATTTTACAAAATATTTGACCTGGGCTATGTTGGCTCGTGATCAGCCTCCTAATTCTGGAAGTCTTGACACAATGAACCTCTACGGAGTACATCCATACTACATGATCCTTGAACCAGATGGCAAAGCTCACGGAGTTCTGATTATCAATTCGAATGCTCAAGAAGTGACCACTGCTCCTGGACCATCCTTGATCTACCGCACCATCGGAGGAAACTTGGATATGTATTTCTTCCCTGGACCAACTCCTGAAATGATTACTCAACAGTATCTTAAATTCATTGGAAAGCCATTCCTACCTGCTTACTGGGCATTGGGATATCAGTTGTCAAGATATGGATATAAGGGATTAGCCGAAATGAAAACTAGAATTCAAGCTGTTCGTGATGCTGGAATTCCCATTGATATTGGTGAAGCTTACATGGAAATGAAAGAGAGAAATACATAGGACTTATTTTCAGGAGTTGCTGATATTGACTACATGCAAAGATACAAAGATTTCACAACTGGAGACGTAAGTTATATTTTATTCATGTTTAGATAGATATCGAAAGCTTTTAGGATTGGGCCGGATTCTCTGATTACGTAAAGACAATGCACAGCTGGGGAATGAAACTGATTCTGATTTTCGATCCAGCCATCGAAGCAACTTATCCATCGTTCCAACGTGCTATGGCTGCTAATGCTAAATTCATTGAATGGGAATCCCAATCTCAAGTTCAAACTGCAATTCAGAATTTGTATCCAATGGCAAAGGACACTAAAATCATGCTTGGAGTCGTCTGGCCAGACAACCACGTGGCATTCCCTGACTTCTTGGATTCAACTAACAACACTCAAAATTGGTGGATCAACGAGTTCGTCACTTATCAATCTCAAGTTCCATTCGATGGAATCTGGATTGATATGAACGAACCATCAAACTTTGGAACAAATCAAGATCATCCATGGTATTTTGATAGTGCTGATCATCCAGATGATGCTCCACTCTTCTGTCCAACCAATGGATCAAATCTTTGGGAAATGCCCCCATACAAAACGCGGGCGGTCTGGAGATTCGGCGATGCCAATAATGGAGCGTTCCTTTCAACAAACACATTATGTATGTTGGCTCAACAAGACGGAGGAAAACAAAGATTCTACAATGTGAAGAATTTGTACGGATTGACAGAAGCGATTCATACTCAGACGGCGTTGTTCAAGGCAACTGGAAAGAGAGGAGCTGTGGTTTCAAGATCAACATATCCATCTGCTGGGAGATATGCTGGGCATTGGTTGGGAGATAACACGGCCAGATGGGAAGATTTGAGAACATCAGTTATTGGAGCACAAGAATTCAATATGTTCGGAATTCCGTAAGTTTCTTGTAGTTTTGGGAGAAGCACAGCAGAGAATTCTGAATTCCGGAAAAGAATTCTGAATTTCCGGAAAAAATACTTCTCCAGATTGTGAGCAAAAATGTTAATGTGCTAGAGTTCTCTGTGTCCAAGTTCCGGATTCTGGTAATTTTTCATTCGGGATTCAGAGATTTAATGTCATTCCCGGTTCTGAATTCGGTTCTGTAAAATTTCTTGTGCGGATTCCGAATTTCGGTTTTTGAGAAAATTGTTTTATTTCGTATTCCGTTTCTTGAAAAAGCAATTTCGGACATCTCTGGTGGTAATACTTTTAACTTTGAGCCAATTTATTTCGATTCCTTTCAAAGATATAAAAAAGTGATCGATTAAACATTTTTGTTATAATATTATAAACATTTTATCAATTGACACTTTTTTGATATGTCTTACAGTAACCGAGATAATTGAGCTCAAGCTTGACATTGAGGGCGCCCCTCTATTATAAGTTTTACGGTAATTTGGACGAATGGTATAAATGGACAAGAGTATGTCAAGCGTTGGGCATTAATACGGTCAATGAGCTTGTTTCACGGTATTTTCAGTTTTCTGTAAATCGTCAACACCTGAATCCCAAACGATTCCTAATTTACCCCACCCAGTCTACAAACTACGGTTATTTTTAGTACCACAGTTGCCTAACAACAGAACCCAATTAGTGTCCTGAATTTTGACCTAACAGGGTCATCCTGTCTTGTGTCTTAAAATCAAGAATCTGCGTATTAAAGATTATGAACTACTGTTCATAACAATGGTCGAGAGGCAAACAAAGAAAACTGCAAAACAAAAATTTCGATATGTTTCATTTTTTCTTTCATATTTTTTTGTTTGTTGAATATCAAAAAACAAATCATAAGTTAAGAATATAAATTCGGGGAAGGGGGATAAAAAAAATGATGTTTGTGATCATGAGATGAGATTTTTTGGAAATGATTGTTGGGTGATTTGTGTCGTCCTATATACACTTATTACACTTTTTTGATGAGCATCCGTGAGTGGAGAAGTTTTGTTGAATCCGTTTGAAAGCTGTAGAAGGAGGCTGATTAGATTTGAGCCATTTGATTTGTTGGGGTTGAAGAAGGCTTCAGAAAAATGATGACCAATTTAGAAGAAGAATAGGTCTGCACAGTCGGATAGAGTTCCGCCGTCGATGCGAATTGAGGGAGGGCAACGATCCATATCTGGAAAATAGAAAATTGAGTTTAGGATTTGATATAACTGTGAGGACCATTGAAAGAAGTAAAAACGGTTTTGAGTATTAAGAAAGCAAAATATTTAGGTTGATCAGAAAGTTTATGAAAAATCAAGAGTTTTGTAAGGAGTATCAAAGAAAAACAGTGTTTCCTCTAATAGAAGCCCACACAAACCATCAATTTGAGCTCAATTATCTCGATTTCTGTGAAAGATATTAAAAAGTTGTCAACTAATAAAATACTTTCGATATTATGATAAATAACTTATCAGTTGACAAGTTTTTGATATCTTGTACAGGAATCGAGATAATTTGGCATAAAGTTGGCGGTTTGGCAAGGGCTAAGCCCACTGGGTTTCTATTCGAGGAAACAAGGTACATAGAACCATCAATAGAAATCTAATAAGAGAAAAAATAATGCAGAGGTTTGAAGAGTGAAAAAATGTGTGATAGGCAGAATCCTGAACTTAAAAACCGTTCAATTCCGTGTCAAGAATAAATGAAATCATTCAAATTTTTGAAATAATGAAACGAAGGGAGAGGAATGTGCGATAAGCTGACACAGAAAAATGCGGAATAGAGTTAGAGTAGCAGCACTGTTTTTTGGGAGTAGGCGAAGAGTACGTGTTTATATAAAGTGACAAAAAGACGAACCCACTTCCTGATGTGATAAATCAAAAAAGTCTTATCATTGTAGTGATGAGAGATGTATACGTCAATTCGATTCACTTTTGATTCGGTTCGTCAAATGAAAAGTGGTGTAGGTCCTGATCTGAGATCTATAGATGAATCGAATCGAATCATTTTATGAATTGGTTTGGGAAACCATTGGCAGAAACCTATTTATAGAAGAAGAAAAAAACACATACGTGTCTAGTACTTCTTCTTTGGAGGTAACACATTACACTACTTCTTCTTCTCGCCCTCATGAAAAATGTATGCAATGCAGTTGGGAGAAGAAAAAAGGCCTACTTGAAAGCAAAGGAATTTTATTAGCTTAGTCACATCATCAGAATTTACTAATCACCGTCCTTTTGTAGCGTATTGTTCTGGGAAGAAAAAGAAGTTACAGTGAGTCAGTGATTTATAGGGGTCAGTAGAAAGCTGTGATTTCCAGAAAAGGTAATACAAGTGTCACTTGATTACAGATACATTCCTACATTTGCAGAAAACAAAAAAGAATCAGTAAACATGTGATTGATTTCTGTAAATATTACTGCAAACCAGTAGTCAAATATAGGCCCTTTGTTTCTATTTTTGGATATACAGAATCATCTGAAACGATCGTTTTTTGGTCATTGAGTTATGCTAAATTTCAAAGTTTGGTTTTTCAAAAAATCAAAGTTCAAAAATGGAATATAGTCTAGATTGCTGGGTGGGCTTTGTCATCCTAAATATTATTTTATAGGGGTATTCAAGGAGGACCCCCACACGGCCAAGTTTGAGCTCATTCATCTCGGTTCCTGTGGAAGACATTAAAAAAATGTGTAAATTGACATATTTATCAGTTGACCACTTTCTCATATCTTTGACAGAAATCGAGATAAATTGGCTTGAAGTTGAAAGCGATGCTGAAAGTTTCGAGAAAACTTGTAGCTATATTTAAATTGTGAAATTCATTTTGCGCATTAATACTACAACTGATTGTGAGGTACTCCTTTTTTGGATGAATAGTTATGAGAGCCTCAGGCATATCGCTTGTGCAATTTTACGTGGACACATTTATAAGTTTTTAGCTCGAGCACCGTCTGGACCAAGGCTGTGCCACAGCCGGCAGCAGAATTTTGATATGGCTACTTTGGAATAGGTAGAATACGAGTGCGGCTTTATTGGTTTCTGGATCGCTGAGCGCATTTTTGAAAGAACCGAATAAAATGTGACGGACTGATTGGTCCACGGTCTGAGTCACGGCCGACGGCGGCTGCTATACTCTCAGCCTTGCTCTGAGCACATTTCTAAATTAATTTGGGAAAATACTGCTTTACAATTAAGTAGATTGACTGTATTCCCTGTCCAAAAGCTTGAATAGATACTGAAGCAGATTTGAGGATAACCGAATTTTATTTTAGCTTTCTGATTCATTTATTTCAGAAATATTTGAAATACTTGAAACATCTGAATACATAGAAAAGGGAAATTTTATGTTTAGGTTGACAGGCTCCGGCTGCTTGAGATCAGAGTGGTGACTTTAGGCGTCTGAATTGAAAAGAAACATCTGGAAGCTTACCTGAGAGATCCTCTAGGACACACTAGACCGTTTTATTTTAATAAGGTCCGAAATGTGTTCACACTAAACCAGGGTGTGTCAGTTTGAGGTGTGAATAGTGAAATGGTATTGACAAGAGGAGGGATCTTCTTCCCCTCCTTCTGATCTTCTAGGAACTCCACCTCTTCTTTTTTTTCCTCTGTTATTGTGTGAACGAATACAATCATTTTGCCCTTCTTACCGTATACCTCGGTTCTTCACGCCTCCAGGCTACTCCAGACGCCTCCCTTTTTTCCTTTGTTTTGATTAGCGCCACACCCAAATTATAATTTGATATGCTCAACCCGTGAAATCGTGTTAATTAAAATCAAATCAGAATTAGAAAAGTGAACTGAAAGCAGATGGTGTGAAAAGGGGAGAGAAGTGAAAAAAAACAGAATGGTCTTGCGTCACGTATTCAGATGATTTTCCATGCGTCCACTTACAGTAGGACTGTCTAAAACGGGCAACAAAAGTTGTCGAGATTGAATTAGGAATGAGGGGCCTTCTTTTTTCGGTTAGAGACAAGGTGATGGTTTTTTGTGTTGTTGAACCGCCCGACCGAAGGTGCTTAGCAAGAAGTGGGAGGGGACACACCCTGTCCTGTTCTCGTCGTTTTTGACGTCACAACACATTTCGCCTGATGCCACAACGTCTGCAATTATCCCTCTGTCTTCCAACAACTTTCTCGATTAACTGACCTCTCAACGATGCCTCTCGCTCAATTGGATCTGACGTATTTGTTGTCGAAAAAACAGAAGAATTGAGTTGGAACAATGGAAAATGTAGCCAGAGAAACATCTAGAAGTGATGATTTATAATACGCTCTCTGGTGCAGGTTTGGGAAGAATGGAGGCATCTAGAAGAGGTGTTTTGGTGATAATATGGGTTGTGTTCTACCATCTACAGTACCTATTTAGCTTCTGCATTCCTACTCTTCGGGAAAAACAGTGTCCAATGATGAGCAATGAAAGCTACAAGAATTAAATTTAGAAACCATTTTAACGAAAGGATCTTTTCAAATTCTATCTACTGCCATAAGATGATCCGAGACTGAAGGTTGTACAAGCATAAAACTTGAGTAATGCGTTATATTGGGCTCAAATTTGGAGTGCAAAAACACAATTAATTCATCAGTAAGATATTTTATGTCTAAAGATATACCCGTTTTTATCAGTCCGGGTAATTGTGTGCCACCCTGTAATTTTCAGTATCAAACGTTTTTTGTCTATTCCTACAGTGATCTATTTTTATCATTGACATGTCTATTTACGTAGTTGGCCCAAAAAAGCGAGAAGATCATTATCAGATTAAGCATCTAATTGAATTAGTTGATGAAGATTACTGTAGACATAACAGAATCTCGGAATATTTGATTTATTAGATGATGATCAACTAGACATTTTTGTATTTTCAGATATGTTGGAAGTGACGTCTGCGGATTCATTGGAACTACAACTGAAGAGCTTTGTCTGAGATGGCAACAGATGGGAGCATTCCATTCCTTCTTCAGAAATCACAATACAATTGGACAACCGGCACAAGATCCAGCTGTTTGGCCATCGGTAGCAGCGGCCACAAAACAAGCAAATCTTTTTAGATATCAATATTTGCCATACTTGTTCAGGTACACTTCTAGACTAGCAGACTTGTATACCGGGTCCTTGGCGGGCCATCGCGAACCCTCTCACAGTTTCTTTTGAAGTCAATATTTTTGAACGGACTATTTAAATTAGATAAGTTAGAGCTCAATAAGTACTTCATAGTTATATTTTTATTCAGAAAGCTCTTGTCTATGAAAAAAGTTACAAACGAAAAAGACCAAAAATAGGCAGAGCCCGGTCCGGTCGGATTTAGCCACTTTATGGCTAACTTTTTTCATAGACAAGGAACAGTTTTTTTTGAAGTCGTCCAGTTCTATCATATCTTCCGTAAACACTCTAATAAAAGGCCAATCTAAAAAGCTAGATTTGAACCCATATATCTCGGTTCCTATAAAAGGTGTCAAAAATTTGTCAACTAATAAAATGTTGGTGATAATATGATACACATTTCATCTGTGGATGGATTATTGTTATCTCTTATAGAAATTGAGATGATGGAGCTTCAAGTACAAGAATAGGGATGCCTTCTATGAGAGTGTATACGGTAATTAGGTGGTCCGAAAATTTTTATTCTAAAAGTAACTGCCAATGCCCGGTTCACAAAAATTCTTCTTATTATTCTAAAACTTTTCTTGACATTCTTTTTTTTTTAGTCTTCACTTCGCTGCTTCACAAAGCGGAGGATCTGTTATCCGCCCAGTGTTCTTCGAATTCCCAACAGACGCCGAGACATTCAATCTGGGATATGAATTCATGTGGGGATCCAGAATGCTTGTTGCTCCAGTCCTCTACCAAGGAACCACTTCAGTGAATGTCTACCTGCCAACCGATCGCTGGTATTCTCTGTTTGATTACAAATACGGAAGTATCATTTCCCCTGGATACACCACCGTTTCAGCTCCAACTACTTCTAGAATTCCAGTGTTTGTTAGAGGTAAGGATCTACAGTAACCCAAAGATTGGTAAACTTGCAAATTGCTGATCTAGTTGTTTTTCCATTCTAATCTCTGCTCTCATTAATTCGTGTTTTTTTCTTGATTTGATGCTGCAGAATGAGAGAGATAAACAACGAGCGAGAAAGAGAGACCAATTGTCTAAAATTGGGGTTTGCAGTGGAGAAGAGAAAAGAATACTTCCACATTCCAGACATTCTCTGGTCATCACATTATCGACGTAGTGAACACGAAAATGGAAGCCAATTAATTAGAGTGACAGTAGTGTATGTGAATGTGTATGTAGACGTGAAGAGTGAGGGTGATGAGATGAGATCAAAGTCATTCTACCATGATGTGCTTTATATGTGATATGTAAAAAAGAGAAGATGGCGAGATCAAAGATAGATTTTTTGGACTACACTGTGTTGATTTGGTACGGGATCAAATGAGAAAAGTGTGGTAGAAAATTGGTCGGAGGGAACCAAGATTAGAAGAAAAAATCTACCATTCCTGTGCTAGTCTGATCCAAATTTGACACATTGGTACATTAGAAAACATAGGTGGGGTTATGGACGTCATTAAAATGCTTTAGAATTTTAGAATTCCGATGAGCCTTGAATTCATTCTTAAAAGTGAAAAAAAGAACTACAGGGTGGGCAAAAGTCTGGTAACCAAAGTTTGACGCAATCTGGCGCGCGCTGACGCACTTTTCGTGCATTGATTTGATGCTCATATTTTTTCCGTCTCTTCATTAGTAGATGGGCAAAGTTTCATGTTTCTATCTCAATTTTTACGAAGATCGCACTACTTTCTGTACGCCTTCTTCAGTTTTTTCCTTTTTTTTTGCGGATCCTTGTGAGCCAGTGGGCCAGGAATACTACTTCTAGGGAAATTCATGATGTCTAAGTTATCGTGCCATAAAGCTCACAAAATTTAACTACCCAAAAAGATGTAAAACCTGCTCACACGGAAAAACGTGTTCAGCAAAAAGTGCCAAAACCAAATTTTCTAACTTCCTCCCCGAAAAGGATGGCTTGTCTCGAGTCAGACGACAATCCGATGGGAATTTCGATGGTTGACACTTTTAGAGCATATGTTCAAGTTTATTTTCACATGTTTTTGGGTGCTCTCAAAAATCTGTTTACCGCGAAATGAGACAGTTTACCCACAGACCACCCCCGTGCCGCCAAAGACGCTACCCAAAGATGTTGAGCCCCACGACCTGAAACAGAGCTACCATCAACAAACAACTGTAATTTAATTTAGTTACAAATCTCTTTGATAAAGTCCTGTCAAAATTTGACCCGGATTGGACTATTTTCCGAAAAGTTATGATGTCTTCTTTTGGTTACCAGACTTTTGCCCCACCCTGTACTGTAGTTTTCGGATTCTCTTTTGTTTATTAAATGAGGATTACTGTAGGATTAAGATCTAATTCTTTAATTTGAAAATAATGAGAATTACTGTAGTTTTTGGATTCAATTTGAAAGAGTTGAGAAGATAAAGATTACTGTAATTTTCCAACTATTTTGTAAATTAAAGAAATGAGGATTACTGTAGTTTTAGGATTCAATTAAAAAACGGCCTATTGTAGTTTATAGAATTTGTAAAAATTGAAGTAACGATGACTACTGTAACTTCCGAATTTTCTGAATCAACGAAATGAGGATTACAGTATTTTTCAAATTCATTTTTGAATGAAAAAATAAGGATTGCGGTAGTTCTCGAAATCGTGTTTAAAATTTGAAAAATATGAAAGGTGTACTGTAGTTTTCGGATTTAATGTTCAAAATTTGAGAAAATGAGGATTACTGTAGATTTCAAATTTATTTTTGAATTGAAGAAGTGAGGATTACTGTAATTTCCGGAATTTTTCGAAACATGAAAAAAGATTACTGTAGTTTTTGAATTCAGTCTCCAATCGAAAAAATGAGGATTACTGTAGTTTTCGAATTTAATTTCGGAAATGAAAAAATGTTACTGTAGTTTTCTGAACCCATTTTTGAAACTGAAAAATAAGAATTACTGTAGTTTTCGGATTCACTTTTTTTTATTGGAAAAATAAGGAATACTGTAGTTTTCGGATCAAATTTTGAGCAATTGAAAATCATAAGGATTACTGTAGCTTTAAGACTTACTTTTTTAGAGCACCGTCCTGCTGATAAAAAAATGACCACTTTATTTGAATAGTCCGAAACATCTTCAAAACTTTGAGAAAGGGCTTAAAATGTATGAAGAGTTGACAAGATGCTGAACCATGAAGAAATGTGGATTACTGTAGTTTTCGGATTCACATTAAAAAATTGAAAAATAAGGATTACTGTAGTTTTCGAAACTATTTAAATAAAAAGAACAATTTCAGGATACAGTGTGATCCCTCGCCAAACCCCCGCCATCACCACAACCGCTACTCGTCAAAATCCATTCGAACTTCTGATTGCTCCATGTCAACTGGGAAAAGGGGAAGGAACGCTATTCTGGGACGATGGAGAAACAATTGTTAACGATTTCAATTCTCATGATTACCACCGATTTGATTTCGTTTACAATACAACATCTACTGGCGGTCTTCTCACAATCAATCATTCCAAAAAGGTCAGAAAAATCAAGAAACAGTAAACTTCATTGTTTTTGTTTCAGAGCTCAACAATTTCTCTTCCAACTTTGGACATTATCGAGGTTTTCAATTATCCGAAGGCACCGAATTTCCGTTCTTTTACTATTAACGGAACTCCAGTCAACATCAACGTTCAAAAGTCAACTTACTCTGGAATCACAAAAATTTTGTACATCTCTACGGAGGGCCTCATCAATTTGACATCTTCTGATTCCATTGTTCTTCAATGGTCTAACGCTGGAAGTAGTATGTTTGATATCGACGTTGGAGTTGAGAATGGAAAGATGAAGGCGTTGAACACAAATCGATACGAAGAATTGTACTTTTAAATTTCTACTGTAATTGTCTACTGTACTGTCGTGTTTCCTTTCACATGCTCACTTTCCTGTACTTTTGTCCTGTATACTAACACATATCCTTTTGGAGTCAGTATTTTTAAATAAACTTAAGAATATCGTTCATCAACTGTGGCAAATACTCATTTGCTCGAAGATCATTTGCAAGAGTAAGATCCCGGGAATTTTCTGAACCTTTTAAGTGAAGATAGGAGTCAGCAGAATAATTGATGTATTAAACTTTAGTGCAGCATTATAACCAACATAAGACTCGATGTCGTATATAGTCTTAGTATACGAATCAACTACTAAAATGCAATATGCAGATGGAACATGTTTTCCAATATTCTTAGTCCATTTATCTTTTTCCTTTTTTTCACCAGCAAGCTTCCTTGGATTGTTCTCTTTAGATTGAACAAAAACTTCTTTGACTTTTTTATTATGAATTTTTTCTATCAAACTTTCGAAATCTGAATAGATAACATAACGATGCTTTTGAGTATTCTGATGATTAACGAATTCAACAATGTTTTTACGAGATAATCTATGCTCAATTGGTGGAGTATTTTCACAATTCTCAAAGTGTCTATCTAACTTTTCTTGGTTATAGTAATATGATAAACATCTACAACAATAATATTTCATGTTATCCCCATTGCTTCTACTTAAAAGTCTACTTAAATTTGTGATAAGACTAAAATGTCCATTACCTTCTGAATCTTCATTATAAAAGAGGTTAACAGTTCTTTCTTTTTCACATTTTTAAGTTGAATGACGAATTTTATATATTCTATGTTCATAATCATCGGGTGTAGGTTGGTAATTATTTCTCGTTTGAGCATAATTTGAAATAGAATATTCATATGCAAAAACATGAACACTTAAATTATTCATACCCTCAAATTTTTCAATATCTTCAAATTTGAAAGGAAATTCAAGTCCATCAAAATTCAATTCATCCTTAAAAGGCGTGTATTTAGTAACTCTTTCTTTATCTCTAGTAGCAGGGTGTAAATGGGCTAGAATACACCACTTGAAACACATGTTATCTTTGTTCTGGATATTTAAAACTGACCTTTTACTAATAACAAACTGAGGATTCGGTATGTATGATGCTCCTATCATTGCATCAGTTTTAGTTTGAAACATAGTCAATCTCAAAAACCTAGTTATCACTAATCCTGAAGCATGATGTTCTCTGTTCTCCACGTCATTCATTAATGTGCTACATGCTGCTTGATAGAATTCTTCCCTACTTTCACCAGAATGTAAAATTTGACTCGTCGTGTTGACATGAAACTTTGCTGCATCAGTAGAATCAGGCTTTTTTGTTTCACATTCTAAATAAAGCATTATTTTAACATTGGTTTTTTGTAAATGTCGTTGACTACAGTATTTTGCTTCTTCTTGAGAAAAGAAGCCAATCTTTTTTTTACAAGATCCATGTAAAATTCAATACCTTTCTCTTCGATCAATTCAAAAGGATTTTCTAGACAATCTTTGTTGTTCTTGCTTCTATAATTTGTTACTCTTGAGTTAGCATTTTCTCTATCTTCTTGTTCCATAAAAATCAAATCATCCTTAGGAAAAATCTCATCTGGAGGTGGTAATGGATTTTCTTGATTTTCTTGAGAATGATCATTAATAAATTGCTTCATTTCATCCACCTTCATCTTTTTCATTTGAGCATCAGTCATTAATAATCTTTTCTTTTTATTAATTTTTCTAACTATACGGAGAAGTTCATCTCTCGACATTGTCAGATGATTTTTCTCAAAAATAATTACTTTTTCAAATCTTAGAAGGATGTAGGACTTCCTTTTTATATGGAAAATTTTTTTTCAAGAAAAATCTAAGTTTCACAGTCAGCGAAAGTAATGTCTCTAAACTTCATAATAAAGTCAATCATTTCTTGTTTTCTCATAGTTTGGATTTCTTTGGATTTGAGAATGTATTTTCTCAATTCCCTTCCAATCATTGCAACTTTTCTACGAACTTCATCTCTTTTCATTTTCTTTAAATCTTCTTCGTGTGAAGAAATATTTTGGAAACTTACTTCTTGAGTAATTTCTTCCATTTATAAATACAATAATTTTTTAATAAAGATTGTGAATCTCCGGATTCTTCGAATTTAAATAAATTACTTTTTCAAAAATGCCTTCCACAATCGAAATCTATGATCCTAGGAAGAGAAATGAGATAATTAACAATTTTCTAAAGAATAGAAAAGAACACCATCTAAAAAATCTTCAAGAACGCTCAGACCTAGAAAACGTAGAAGATCACCGTGTGGAAGTATTCAAACCCATATTAGAATCAAACAAGAAATTACAAGAAGAAATTATTGATGAAAAGAATAAGATAGTTCAAACTCTTAATAGTTTCAAAGGAGAAATTAAAGGACAACCACAATTTTTACAAAGTACTCCATTGAAGCAAATCCAAACTGCAAGTAGTCCAAGTAAAGTAAATTCTCCTTCAAACGAACCGAAGGTTCTAGGATTCTCTGAATCTGTAATCAAAGTTTCCAACTTAATCGCAACTTATCTTCAAGATCCTAGAGATAAAAGTAATGCTGGATATTCAATAAGGCATTTCTCCGAAGGAGGTTTAAAAGGTTATACTATTGGAAATAAGGAAGTCATGTTCGATGATAATACAATTGAAATAAATGATGTTGTTTATACAGCAACACCTGGCCTTATGGAATTATTAACTAAAAAATCTCCTAATTTGAGTAAAATTAAAAATGATGACACTCAAAATTATCGTGATATCTTATTATGCTCGAATGCTTTGTATCAAGGATTTGATAAAAGTAGTAAAAGATATAATGCTGATCCAAGTGATAAATGGAAATTCACTAAATTGAATTATTTTGTCGCGAAAGCTCAAGCTACTGAAAGTAGTGTAACCAAAGAAAAATCTTCTCAAGGAAGCTCTAAGCTTACACAAAGTCCAAATGTATCTAAAAGTCAATTCCAAGGATCTGTAAGACATTCAGCGAAAGCAAGCTTCCTTGAAGTGCCTAGTGAAGGTAGTAGTATATCTCAAGTCTTTGATTTCCTACCAGAAGATATTAATGCTCTTATGGATTCATTAAATACAATACAATTAAGATTATCAATAGGTTCTTTTCAAGCTGGAAATAATGGTGAATATAATAAGATTCACGCTATTTTAGATGAATTAATTCGTAGAAAGAAGATAAAAAAGAAAGATTTACCAAGTATCTATTTAGGTATTGGTTTTTAACTTCTAAAACTTTTTACACTTATAGGAAGCTTGCTGACGCTGATGACGCTGAATAATGTTATTCTCTTTATTTGTTCCCTTCTTTACATATGCCCTGGAAACATTAGGAAATTCTTTTGAAACACCAACTCTTTTAAATTTATCACTGAGCACAGTTTCTGTGATATCCAGATCATTGAGAAAGTCTAGACATTCTCTATTTGTCAATGTCTTCTTATTCTTTAGAGTAAGAGAAAGATCAATTGAAGGTACTTCTACTATTTGTTCCTTTTGTTTTTCATTATATTTTTTTCTAAGCTCATAGTTGCCTGGTGCATCTACCCTCCAACCCCTTCTAAAGGTTCCCTCTAACCACGCAACGACACTCCGCTATCCCCCTCGGCGCGCACAATTTGAATTTAGTTTTGAGGGATTGCGAGCTTGGATTTGGCTCGTGGTTGTGAGGGGATACGACGAATTCGAACGTTTTCAAAATCGAACAGACCTAAAGTCGAACTGTTTCAAATCAGAACAGTGTCTTTCTCGAACAAGTATCAAAACAGAACAAGGACAAAATCGAACTGTTCTAATTCGAACTGTGCACTGTCGAACTGTCCCAAATTGGAACG